AATCCTCCTAAACCTGATCCGAAATACATTTGTTATAATAATAATAATCTTGATTCATGGAAAGAAAGAACCAAATCAAGAAGAGGTTGTTTATATGCAAAATATGAAAATGATAATTCTTATATTCAATACATTCTTGAAAAAAAGGATTTTGACCATCAAGATGGTTCTTTGTGGCAGATTTATAATAAATTGGATGATTTCAATGATGATGATGTTAATGAAAAAATTTCAAATTTAGAAAAAAAAATGAATACCAATAATTCAAATTTAGAAAAAAAAATGGATATCATAATGTTGCAATTACAACAATTACAACAATTACTCCAAAAACCTTGAAATTTTCTCTTTAAAAAAATACAATGTATTATTTTTTTTTCCCAAGTCCAGGATTAGTTTTTATTATGTTAACCCTTTATTTTATGTGATAATTTTTATTTATATACAATTATTTGTTTTTTTTTTTTTAATTAAAAATATAGTTTTTATCATAATTTTACAATTTTAAAACCGTTTTTACGCATCAAGCATTTTAATTGTCTCAATTTCAGTGAGAAGGTGTAAGGTGTGTGTGTGTGTCTATACATTCTTTAATTACCCATATAATGAGTTGATTGCGTAAACCAAATAATTCTTTCCATCAAAGCTTTTCAAATAGATAATTGCTCCAAACATCAGTAGGAGTTGTTCCAGTACCTTTTCTCTCTGATGATATATAACTTTGTGTCATATTGAATAAATTATTTATCATCATCATTTGACTCACATATATAACCAGGTTTCACACTGAGGATACTGGCTGCAACTTTTGATGATGGTTGCTACCATCTTTGCGTCATATAAAAATGATTGCAACCACTGGTTGCAACTACCTTTACAACCATTTTGTTTCCTTTTTTGGATTGCGACATGGAAACACTATTTCACACTATCTTTTGATTTCGAATAATGAATCCTTTTCATTGAGCTGAATCCTAATTCTCATATTGATTCTTATTGGAAATCATACTTGTGTATTTTTACATCAATAAAATTCTCATCAATAAACAGAAAACAGACATTTTGAAGGTTTATAAGTATTCTTTTGTGATTTGACGTTGGGATTAGCAAGCTTGTGTGTACTTTTCTTCAATAATTAAATTTTAATTCATTTTTTATATTTTTCCTCTCATCATCTATTTTACATTTTCATCAAAATATATTGAGATCTTCCTTTTCCATATAGCCAAAATACTCACATTTGAGAGAAGTTTGCCATGTTAATAATTGAATTCAATTCTTTTTTAGAGACACACAACAATTTTACAAAATTCCTTTACATCCACATACTTTTGATATATTATTTGTAATGTTGGAGTATTCAGCATACATAACTTGTGGTATTTCATCCAATTCATCATCCATTCATTAGGCGACGAGAAGAAGAGGTCTTGGCATTAAACTTAAGAAATCAAGGTCATTGGCTCATCTATACCATTATGATATTCATGCACAGGTAGATGTTAACACTATGGAATCGATTCAGGATGGTGGCTTTAAGTATTTAGCAATTTAGTCTGAAACAGAAAAATGGCAGCTTATTCTGCAGATAGGCGAAGAATTCACATTTCCATCTCCACACACACAACTAAATATGATGAGAGGAGTAGAATTGTCTTGTTTAGGAAGAATTCAATTCCTGAAATCCCAGAAGAAGGTAAAAGGGGAGAAAAATTTCTACAAGAGTATTTTTGTATGCATGTTGTAATTACTAAAAATTTTAATAATATACAACATGTTGTCTATGATGTGCACAAGTTTGTTCATTGGATGCACAGAAATTGGATTTTATCATTTTGAACAATCAACATCTTCTTAACCCCTAAATGTTGTATTGTAGTTAAGGTTGCTGGTGAAATTGAGTAGTTACGGCTGGTGTAACTGGTGAAACTATTCCACCAATGGTGCAACTCAAAGG